AGCGCCGTCTGGACAAGCCGACAGCCTCCCTTGGACGTGGCCAAGGGAAAGGCAGCATCTAGCCTCAAGGCGCCAGAGTGCAAACAAGTAGAAATGTCATCCTAATGTTGCTGGCATGGTGAACCCACGGGGCTGGCATATGTGTTTTTTTGCCCGCTCCCCCCCTCACTACTTAATTAAGTAGGTGCCTACTTAATCAAGTAAGGGAGAAGTAAGCTCCGCTCCTAGGCTAAGTTAGCTCCTAGTACCTGGACGCGGGATAGCTCATGCTTCTTCAAGGAAGCTCCCCGCCTGAAGGCGCGGGAGCTTACTTGAAGAAGTGCTAAGCGCTCGCACTAATGATGTGGTTCCTACATTTTTAGCGAAACTTTTAGGACATCTTAAGTTAATTTAATTTCTGTCATTTCTCAAAGCAGCCAGCCAGATCTTGCCATCGACTATTCACTGACTCAGATCATATCGCTCTCGTCTTGTGTCTATGTGAATAGGCGAATGTACAAAAAATGTACACACCCGCTCGAAACTTACATAAAATAGATCAGACTTGATGGGTTTTGCAAACTATCGTTAGACTCGCGACTCGTTAGACTCTATCAAGAGAGAGCATCAAATGGCATCATTGCTGGAGAGCCCACATGTGCCAAGGGGGTTCTGTTGATTGCCGATTGCCGAATATATACATAATCATATAACTGTGATGGCCAAGGAATTCAGCCGCTGACAGCCACCACAGCGCCTCTTCCCTGGCAAAATCACAAAGCTTGGCTTTCTGGCTTTCAATGCACAAGGCCTCTATTAGCATTCCGCTAGCCATGGAATTTGCCTAATTACCAGGGAACATCTAGCTCTCCAGCTCATGTCATGATGTGACTCCTGAAGTCCAGCTGCCTATTGAGAAGAAGGGCCCTGTCTCTTTTGCAACGGACGTTGATCTCCGTTCTCCCTAGCTTTCAGCCTGGTCTCCTTGTCCTTGGCTGTCAGCTTGTTCATGATGTCCGCACAACCCTCCTCTGCTGGTGTGCTCTGGATGTCGAGCCATGCAAGGGTGGGGTCTTATGCTCAACCAGCCAGGAGCTGCACATGATGTTCAAACATAAGGAGGTTCTGGACCTTACTGCAGACTCCAACTTGAGAGAGGGAAACACGAAAGGTATATAGAGAGGCACCAGGTATTATATAGGAGAGGTGTAGCACTGTAGCACGTTAGCAAGTGCACTTGTGTATATATATATATAATCTATAGATATTATATATATATATATATACGAGCCCCCACTTGTCGGAGCACTCTTTGCACTCGACCCTCGAACCGGAGGCCCCCCATATCTAGGCGCCCGCAAGCAGTGACAGTGCTGCAGGTTGGAAGGTCGAAGTGCACTCTTGCTTCGCGTGGTTGCTGGAGGTGTGTCAGGGCCACCCGGAGCATAGAGGCGCATGGTACGTTAACGCCACTTCGCAGAGTATGTCGGAGAGGAGGGGGCTGCTACAGCATGTGGTGTGGTGTGGCGCACGTGGAGGCTTGTCATTGCTGGTGTATGTGAGAGCAGGCTGTGGTGTGTAAAATTTGACTGGTGCCACACTGTGCTGCGCAAGTGCGGTCGTACGTCACGGCGCGCGCTCCGCATAAGAGTGACCTGGGTCGCGAGGACAGGTTGCTAGACCATGTGGTGTGGTGAGGTTTGTCCACACGGCTTTGCAGAGAGGCTGGTTTGCATCAACGCTCGTTTGTGTGAACGCTGGCTTGCGTGGCGTGTAAACGCTGGCATGTGTAAGAGCTGTGGTCCCACAGCCGCACGCGCTTTGTAAAGACCACAGGTGTGCACGCGCTGCGTCGAAACCGTGTTGCGCAACCACATTGTAGGGGCATTGCTGTTACTGCCAGTGAATGGACGTCACGCTATGGTAGGTGGGTGATGCTAGTGGTGCTGGCGAGAGGGGGGGTTCACCAAAACAACTGATTAATCAAAACGGGGGGGTCAATAGAATTGACTTGAGAGAGGAGGCGGTGAACGAAAGGTAGCAGCAGGGAATCTGGCGCAGCCCTGGAAACATTGGTATTAATGGTATTCACGGTGCTTTGTGGCCACTTTGAAGCGTACATAGCTTGAAGCCATCCCAATATACAGGGCTTTGTGGCAAGAAGGTGCAGAAGCCCGTGTAAGTACCGTCGCTTTGTGCCACTTTGATGCCTCTAAGCACCGCAAAAGCCCTTTCCGCCACAAAAACCCCTGCAAATAGCGTGGTTTGAGGCCACTCTTGAAGATAGGAGGAGCTGAAAACACATGAAAACACTGGTATTTACGGTGCTTTGTGGCCACTTTGAAGCGTACACAGCCCAAAACCATCGCAATTTACAGGGTTTTGTGCCGGGAAGGCACACAAACCCGTGTAAATACCATCGCTTTGTGCCATTTAGAAGCCTCCAAACGTCGAAAAAGCCCTTTCCGACAAAATATTTCCGCCATGTTTCGACCATGTTTGAAGCCTAGACACTTCAAAAACCATCGGTTTTTACGATGTTTTTGGCCGGACAGCCACAGAAAACCATGTAAATTGCGTGGTTTGAGGCCACTCTTGCAGACTGGAGGAGCTGAAAAAAACACTGCTATTTACAGTGTTTTGTAGCTGTTGACAAAGACCCGCGCCAGGGTGGAGTTGAAAGGGGGGGGGGGGCCTCGGCCCTTAAAAGTAAATGTCGGAGGCGATTTCTGGGTGTCCACTCTGGTTATAATTCATTTTTGCTAAAGCAAAAGGAAAACTCAGGTAGCGTAACCGCTACCTTTCGCGATATATCAATATTTGGTCCCGACCAGGCTATTGAAGCTACCCCTTTGCTTCGCAAAGCAAACTCAAGCTAGCCCTACCTTTCGTGAATAGACTGCCAAAGGGGCCTCTGACTCTGCCATCTTGAGAGTTGCAGCCACTGCCTCGAAATCAGGTGAAGAACAGGACCAGTTTAGGGCAAGTCATGTGGATCTCCAAGTGCAAAGAAGGAATCTCTTCACCACTTCTTTTGTGAGCTTCTTTCTCCTATATAAATATGTGCAGATTCGATAGGCGGCCAAAAAAGTGTGTTGCTTGCGGGCAAAGACCCTTCGGCCTCAGAATGGATTGGCGATGCTCCAAAGTCATCCTGGAGGCCTACCTCCCAGCAGTAGTTCCGAGGGAAAGGGATCCATTTCTTGGGGAAACATTTTGCAACCAAGGAGTAATGATGCAAAGACACCCAATTATATAGGGCATTCTTCGGAATGGTCACTGAAACTGTGGGGTATCATTGCATGAATGATAAAATGGCTGTCTCAAAGCCCGTCGTGTGGCCAAGGGTCTTGCAAGTTCTAAGACGCAAGGCCTTTGCTGGTGATGTCGATGGCGTTGTCACATCCGGAGAGCTTCCAACAGACTGCAAGCAATCGCAAAGATCATTGCAAACATCATCTTCATTCTCTCAAGCAAGGCCACCATGCGCAAGTGACATGGGGACAGTCCGAATTCGGAGCCGGCATCCTTTCCCTCCATTTCCGTCTGTCAAAAATCGCCTTTCTGTACGCAACCTGTCTCACTAAGGATCCAACGTGAAGGCTTCCCTTGTTCTTGCGTCTGCGCCCACCCCGCCGACGGGGACGGCGGCTGTCAACGTCCTGGAGGCTCTGTTACACTTTGAAAATGCCCCCCGTTTCAACTATCCTGTTTCTCCATTCGCCCATTGGCTTTGATTCCAGTTCTTGGCCTGATGTCACCCTTATTACAGCAAGCGGTATTGAAGAGACTCCTACTGAGACTTTGAATGCCGCCTCCCGGATGCAACTTGTAATTCATCCTCCTCGCAGTCATAACCATCCGCGTTGTAGCATTCAGTCTTGTCATAGCCTGCATCCCAGTCATGGCAACAAGGCTTTGATGAGTCTTAAAAAAAGGATCCCACTGATCACAACAATGACTGATGGTGGCGTAAGGTGATCCGTAAGGCACAACATCAGACCGTTCCCGTTGCACCTGCAGCATCATAGCTGTCGTCGTATGGAGGGTAGGCCCAATTGCCCACTGGTTCGATCAAACCACAGTAGGTTTCTCCTCGGAAAGGTGAAGGTGATAATTGGTGAAAGGGCATCATGTTCAATTCGCGAGCCACAAAAGTTGGATCGCTTTCACAGCAACCAGAAACATCGACTATCACTTGCAAACACAGAGACGACTACTGTTTGGGCATTTGGTATCAGCTTGGAAGCGGAGCTTTTTGAGATAAGTGATAAGAGGAGAAACATGTTTTAAATGAACCTAAACTTAAAATGTTTTCTAGGTGCACATGAGCCGTCCTTGCTTTTGCTTCACGTCATGGACCGCGAACCTGCAAAGTCAGACGTGTCGGACGTGTTTTCTGTTGGATGTTTCGGCCCGCTTGGATAGGCCGTCCAGGTAGGCTGAAAAGTGCTCAAATGTGCTTTCTTGCTAATAGAGAAGGCCTCTAGCCTACTAGCGCCTCCAACCTAAAAGCAATGGTCTCCAACCTAAGTGCTTTCTTGCTATTCTTATAGTGTTTAGTTTCTCTTTTCTTGCCCTTCTTTGATACAGCCCGGCAGGATCCTGCAGGTTGCTTTCTGGACAAGGAGCTGGAGGCCACCACTCATCACGTAGGAGTAGGAGACAGCGGCAAATTGTTCCATGGACAGGGTGGACCTTGGCTCCTGTGCAAAAACCCCAGCTCCCGCAGGTAGTGCCTTGAGCCAAAGATGCAGGTGAAAGTAATCAACAATGATCCAGCCGCAGTAACGTACCACAGCGTGCCTTTGCCTGTTCAGCACACATCCACAAAAGACTTCATGCGGACATTCAAGCGAGCTAGGATGTAAATCTTCAACCAGCATCAACTTCACACATGAGAGCAATGTTCAACCAGCCTTCGAGAGAAATCACTGGGCTGAAACGTCTCATCCATAACCATGAAGACAGCATGGTCGCGTCAGTCCCCGGTCTATCCCTCCAAAGTGAGCCAAGGTGACCATAGAGCCGCTAGCGCCAAGCGCCTCAAAAACAGCAGCTGACACGCTGCCAGACTGCTGCAAGGGTCGTCACATTCCAAGCTAAGATTCCTGCTGCTTCATCTGGCTGACTAAATAGTTGCACCTAGCGAGAGAATGGGGTCCCAGAAGATTTGGCTCGCAGATCACATGACAACCATTAAAACATATATTCGTCTCAGGACGTGTGCTGCTTGAAAACCAGCAGGTCTAGCAATCCCAGCCAGCAAGTAAGGACTGCTGAAAAATGGCATGCGTGCATCACGATATAGGTTTGGGGGTTGCGGTAGAAGGTTCCGCAGAAAGCTGGTGTCGAGACATGCGGGACAAGAAAGGCGGGGGGTCTTTGCCCCACCTTCAGCTGCTTTGGCTGGAAGATGGCTACAGAGGCTCCTGGTAAATAGCAGCAGTTTGCGTAATTCACTCTATATATACACAAGCTCCAGCCCCAGCCGCCTTTTCTGTACCGGCGGCATGAATCGACTATAGACTAGAACCTTGCCATCGTGAACTCAAAAGCTGAAGCAAAAACGAAAGTTGTAATTTACAGTAAGTATGTATATCCTACATTCCCTAGCCTGGCCTACCTGGTTTCAGGCACTGCCCCGTCCTTGCCATACCTTTGAATCAAGTTCAACAGCCTTGGTTTGCCGCTCTACAACATAAAAAAACAAGATGGAGCCCACGAACCCGAATGCAAACACGTTCGAAAAGCTACATATGTCCAAATGACACTCTTGTAGGACACTCTTGTGGGACACTCTAGTAGGAAACTCTTGTGGGACACTCTTACGGGACACTCTTCTGGGACACTCTTGTGGGACACTCTTACGGGACACTCTTGTAGGACACTCTTGTGGGACACTCGTGTAGGACACTTGTGGGACACTCTTACGGGACACTCTTGTAGCACACTCTTGTAGGACACTCGTGTGGTCACTCTTATGGGACACTCTTGTCGGACACTCTCGTAGGACACTCTTGTAGGACACTCTTGTGGGTCACTCTTGTGGGACACTCCTGTGGGACACTCTTGTAGGAAACTCTTGTGGGACACTCTTGTGAGTCACTCTTACGGGACACTCTTGTAGGACACTCTTGTGGGACACTCTTGTGGGACACTCTTGTAGGAAACTCTTGTGGGACACTCTTGTAGGACACTCTTGTGGGACACTCTTGTGGGACACTCTTACGTGACACTCTTGTAGGACACTCTTGTGGGTCACTCTTATGGGACACTCTTGGCGGACACTCTTGTGGGACACACTTGTGGGAAAGTCTTGTGGGACACTCTTGTGGGACACTCATACGGGACACTCTTGTGGGGCACTCTTGTAGGACACTCTTGTGGGACACTCTTGCGGGACACTCTTGTAGGAAAATGTTGTGGGATACTCTTGTGGGACACTCTTGTGGGACACTCTTGTGGGACACTCTTGTAGGACACTCTTGTGGGACACTCCTGTAGGGCACTCTCGTGGGACACTCTTGTGGCACACTCTTGTGGGACACTCTTGTAGGACACTCCTGTGGGACACTCTTGTAGGACACTCTTGTGGGACACTCTTATAGGACACACTCTTGTGGGACACTCTTCAGGGACACTCTTGTGAGACACTCTTGTGGGACACTGTTGCGGGACACTCTTGTGGGACACTCTTGTGGGACACTCATACGGGACACTCTTGTGGGACACTCATACGGGACACTCTTGTGGGACACTCTTGTGGGGCACTCTTGTGGGACACTCTTGTAGGAAACTCTTGTGGGACACTCTTGTAGGACACTCTTGTGGGACACTCTTGTAGGGCACACTCTTCATACGAGACTTCCTCCAAAAGTCACGCTGCGAGGCTGCGACTTCCTCCAAAAGACACACGTCAAGTCTCCAAAACGAGCATTTCGTACGAGACTTCCTCCAAAAGTCACACATCAAGTCCCCAAATCGAGCGTTTCGTATGAGACTTCCTCAAAAACTCACATGTCAAAGTCTGCGAAACGAACGTTTCGTACGAGACTTCCTCCAAAAGTCAAGCGGAAACACCCCATCGGAGCACACACATCACGCAGCCCTGCCAAGCAGTTTCGCGATTCCAGCTCCTCCATACAACACCCGCTCACACGCCAATCCCAATGTGACAGCGACATTCACCTCTACCACAACTCACAACCTCACGACTGCCACGAATCTTTCCGCGTCCATACGTCTGACGCGCACAAAGTACTGCGCCTGCCACGAAATGTCACCTCCGTCACACCTCGCAACCTCACGATTCCCTGCGCCTGCCACGAAAATCGCACTTCCACACCTCAAAACCCGCACAAAGTACTGCGCCTGCCACGAAAAGTGACAATATCGTCTCATGTGAGCTTCAACAAATTTTGCACCACACCACACGTTTGGAATGATTTCGATCCGTTCTGAGCACACTCCCATCCACCAAAATCGCCATTTCAGCTGAGACTTCTCACGAAAACAGAGCTTTGATGCCACACCCTGAAACACAAATCCCAATGGCACGGCCACATCCAACACCCCAAAAACACGACTCTCCAAACGCTAACCCCAATGGAACTGCGTAGCAATCTGCAGATCTCACAAAACGCTGCGCCTGTGCAGCGAAATGCATCACGTTTCTTGCGCGACATGTCATGGTCCTGCAAATCACAATGTAATAGCGGCGCAAACTGACACGTGACACATCCATGAAAAGTCACTTGCAAAAGCTTCCCCCAATGGCAGCAAATTTGAGACGCGACGACGACGACAAACGACGAGAGACGACGACAAACGACGAGAGACGACGACAGACGACGAGACGACCCACGCCACGCAAACATAGCTCCAACCCCCAGACCCCCAACTATAAACGGGAACCCTTCGCTACGCATTCGGGAAAAAGGCCAAGGTTGGCCAATGACTGATTGAGGGTACAGTGACCCTTCTGGTTCCCCTCAGAATGCTAAGCTTTCCCCATCAACACCTTAAACCTGGGCCTCATCTGGGGGCGCGGCCCAGTAGGCAGGGAATGTGCCCTGAAAGCTGCCCCAGCCCTGCAGTCTGGGAGAATTCAACCCGGGCAAGTGGGTTACACTTGCATTTAATAGGTTCTACAAATACCTGAGCACTAGGTATAGCCCTCCGTTCTGTGTCCTTCTCACATGGGAGCCCATAATGTCAAGTTGCTTTCCACTTGAGCAAGGAAGCTGGGTGGTCGGAGCGAGAATGACCCTTTGCTTTGGAAGATGGGGAAAGTTCCCTGCAGCGCTGTACTTGACTCTGTACCGACACCGTCAACAACGAAGACCACATGCTGTGTCAATGACTTCCATGGATGCTGACGCCGGTTGAGCAGATACTGGTATAAAATATGGTGATTGTATGATATTGTGTCTGACGGGTTGTGTTAAAAGGACCGGACCAACATGGACTCTTCAACTGGCGCTCCCCATTGGCCTCCCGCAGTAAAGCACAAGCTCCCATAATCATAAGCAAGCGTCGCCTAGGCCGAATGAATTTCCTGTCCAGCAGGTCTGTGGACCCTCCTCACGTGCAAGTCCAACCAAAGAGCACAACCTTGCAGAGGTACCGTGAATCCAGTGTGGAGGATGTCATGCAGTGCGATGTTCAACAGGGATACTTCCGTTTGCGAAGCTGCTCTCGGTCCAGTCCACTTGGGTTTCCAGCCCGAGAGCGGCACGCAGCTGCCGCCCAACGTGGTCGCAGCAGGCAAGGGCGCGTTGGAGGAGCTGCTCAGAAAGATAGGCCTGGAGCAGCTCACCACAGGGCACACCATGGCTTGAGGTTAAAAGATGTTAAAAGAGTCTCCAGAAGGAAGGTTTTTTTAGATACCGTTTCCCTGGGCAGAAGGTAAGCAACTCTTGGTAAGCAATTCTTGTATCATGCTTTCTGCCTCCGTGTCTTTGACTATCCGGAATTTGCGACAACGTTTCAATGACCTTGTGCCGATGCCAATCTTCCGAGCGCCTCCACAGCTTCCAAGAAGTTGTTGTGTGCTGAATGGCTTGCTGACCTTGATTTGTCCCGAGTCCCGAATAATTTCAGAAGTGCACAACATCATGACATAACAAGATTGAGTGGGCAGATGCAAACGAAGGGAAAAGAATTCAATGTCCAGGTGCCAAATCACGACAAGGACCCATGGCCAGCGCCATGGCCAGTGCTGGCCAGTGGTTTTACTGTATGCATCCCCCCACATCTGTGCTGATTTGAGTGAACCACGCGGTCACAAAGTCCAGATTTGCCATCTTGATGCTTAAGAGCCTCAGAAGCACATTCTGGATCAACGATGAGAGAGTCAGCTCATCATTTGTATTCCGACTCAACACTGAAGCAATTGCGCAACATAACGTTCATCATTCCTCCAACATTTAAAATCCTGGCCAATAAGGACCTGCTACTTGATTGATCACAACTCTGCAGGGAGAATCTGTGCACCAGTGTCTTTCATTCACAGCCCGCCGAGAAGTGATTAGGCAAAGCAGCGGGTTTCTCGCTCTGAATGAGTTTGCTCGAAAGTGTCGCTGGGTATCCCCGCTGCTCCAGGGTAAGATGTCGCAGGTCAAGGTATGCAGCGCTGATGTCGCTTTCCATGCAGTTCTTGCGCTCAGGGAGCACTAAACATGTCTGCCTCCTAAAAGTTCATATCTAGTCACAGGTTCGTACCAGAGTACCAATTGGAGGTCAAATGGTTTCAAGAGCAAAACATGGTGAGGATGCTAATAGGATGAAACAGTCCGAAACAACTCATTCCAGGGTGCTGAATCGAGCCATCAAATGCAAAAAGAAACAAAATTTCAAGTCAGCCTGACGGACATCCCTTGCGATGGCACCTTGATCTCTGTCCCAGATAGCAATCGTGTCAAGAAGGAGACCTGTCAGTGGAAATCCAAGCACCACTGGAGAACGTTTGCAAACTGATGTTTTCATGCAAATGCACGCTGCATGCTACTTAAGTTATATACCTAAGTGCCTGCATCACCCGGGATGAACCATCGGGTCTCCTCGGCAACTCCAGCAAGTTCACCTTGGTGCAACATGTGTGAGGCGTTGGTGCAGCAGAAGAAACAGAACTCCGAGGATGGGACACTGCGGCTCTGCAGCAGATCCTGACGACAGCAGCCAATTTTGCACCCCAGTGAAGGGTGTTCATCAGGAAAAACAGAAGTGCAGTGTCTTAATACACTTTAAGCGATCCCCACCAAGACACGTCAATCGCTTGCTTTCAGGTCATGGTGGGGAACGAAAGATCAAAAACAGTGACTCACTCAAGCAAAGTCTTTTGTGAGACACATGCCCGACTATTCTATCCAATTGATCTCACTCGATCTGGCGGCAGTTGCTATCTCAGGCTTGATCAGTCAAGTAGAAGCATGTCAAAACATGCCATGCTGGCGTGGCGCCTGTCAGGTTCTTGCGCGCCGCATAAGCATGTCAGTCGAACAAAGATGCCAACCCATGCCGTATGTCGCCTGTCAAATGTTTGTGCATAAACATCCCGCTGGGTTCGTTACCGGCCCGCGGTTGAGTTGATTTCGTGTTTTTTGCACACAGCGAGAAACAATTTTTTGCTGTGAAAACGGGACGCAGAAACCAGGTCGTGAAAACGCGACAGTTTTTTTCAAGGCTGTTTGGGTGTTTGTTTTAAAGGTTCCAAACTGCCGCCCAAACCTGTTCCTTTCCCACATTCAGAGCAAGCGAGGCTGCTGCGCGGTATGAGTCAGTATATTTGGGGTTCCGATCTCCCATCTCCACCGAAAGCATCGACAGAATCTCCACAGGGCTCGGTTGCGCTTTCCTTTCTTCACGGAACTCAAGGATCTCGGCATGAAATCCACGTCTCAGCATGACAATGAAGCCCAAGGAAATTCGGCTCAAAATTGTCTGGTGAAATCGATGACAATGTTCTCAGCATGACATCCAGGTCGTCATTCCATCACAACCCCAACCCCCACCCCCCACCGCCCACCCCATTCTAATAACACGACTCATCGGTGACAACACCCATGCATCGATGACAATCTTGCGGGGCCGATGACAATGTTGTGAAACCGAAGGTTTTAGATCATACGCATTTGATGGTAATGTTGCCGATCAAGATGCCAGACAAAGCATGGAAAGCAGAAACAGCCCAAAACGTGGGCTGGTAAGGGAACGAAGCCGACAGCATAAACATGTCAGTGCGCAACCTGAAAAGCATGCAACAGAGTAAGCTGAAGAACAAACATGCCAGTCCACGCCGGTATGCCGCCCCAGCGTCAGTAAGGCAGACTGCAAGTTGACACAATGTTCTGGCCTTTTTCTCATGCTGTGTTGCGTTTCTGTTGTCTGTTGTGTTGTGCGTTGTGTGCTTGTAGTTGTGCTTTGCTGGTTGTGATTGTGTGCTTGTGGTTGCGTTTGTGGTTGTGTGTTTGTGGTAGTGGGCTGTGTATTGTGTGTTTGTGGTTTGTGTTGGTTGTTGTGTGTTGTGTGTTTGTGGTTGTATGTTCAGGTCCGGTAGTGCCCACTGCAATCTGGCTGTTGCTGTTGAGGTCCGGCAGTGCCCATTGGCATCTGGCGCTTGCTGTTAAGGTCCGGTGGTGCCCACTGCCATCTTGAGGTCCGGTACTGCCCACTGCGATCTGGCGCTTGCTGTTGAGGTCCGGGGCGGCGGAAGAAAGGAAGAAAGGAAGAAAGGAGAAGACTACCCTCACCTGACAGGTGGGGAAAAAAAATGTAAGGATCCTTTAAAGGGCCGTTACGCTCTTCTTTTGTCTCTTTTTCCAGGCCTTTCATTTAAGCGTTCCACTGAATGCATGTCCAACACTTTCAACTCCTGGTGCAAGCTGCGCACTGCAGCACTCAGCACCCGCCGCTCAGCCAAGTTGGCCAACTTTGCATGGAAGCCCTGCAGTAGCACAGTTCCGAATCTGGGTCTCACTCGAGGTGTCTCGTACATCTTTTGGACACAAATCATCACAAACCTATGCCTATGACTATATACATGAAGTGTACAAACATGTGTCATGTGTGCATTAAGCTCTTTTGAAGGAAAAAGCTGTGAAGACGTGAACTAGCCCCTTGCACAATTCAATCCGGCCTCCTGCTTGAAATGGCCAGGTTTCACTGTCCTTGCAGCACGCCGATCAGAAGAAAAGCCTACTACAGCTCCTGACCCTGACTGGTGTTACAACATGTCACGTTTTTCATTTACATCAAGCTTGCCGATACCAAACAGCATAGCATATGCGCCTTCGTTCGGACCAACTTGCCCAACATTCGGTCCTCATTTGCCCAGCCGCCAGAGCTGAAGCATGCTCAGTCCGCCCCTCCGGCTGAGGCACTGGTCCTGGGTTTTCGGGATCTGGAAGAACAAAAGTTTGTTTGGCAAAACAATTTCTTGTTGGTTTCATGTGGTCTTCGCCCAGCGCAAAGGACGTCAAACGTATGGGTGTGGCTCCATAATATGTAAAACTCAAGAACCAGCAAGTTTTAATCTGGATGATACCATCTGAGCCACAGCTATGCCAAAGCCCACTGTAAAACCCTCAAGAATCCCTTCAACAATTAACTGTTCCAACCAGATTTCCCTGCAGGGTTGCAAAAGAAGCACCTCGCTTGGAGTGTTTCAATTGCAGTCAATGTGTGCCTCATGCCTGTGTGAAGGATACAGTGATTGTGACCGCTTGGCCAAACCCTTGGTTGTAGAAACTGTATGGTTGAATGCTGGAAAAAGGATGCCAGATTTGTAGCCACGGCCTGGTTGATTGGGTCAGCATAGGTCCTCAAGGCATTCTGGTTGTGCATACTCTTTGCATACTCTTTTTCAATAGATAACCCAAAAGTAGGTAAGGGCCCTTTCAATAGGGGCCTTTCAAAGGAGCCCTTTTTTTATGAAGCTTAGGCAGGGGCCCTGGGTGGCAATTGTCTCTCCCGAGTCAGTGACTCCATCTGATCATTTATTTCCTCTAAAGCGTTGGGGGCAGCACATGTTTCAGCGTGTCCTTGCGGAGTGAAAACACTTGCACTGCATTCGTCCTCCGATGCCTGTCATTCTGAGGTGCTGCATACACGTTCTTATTGCAATGAAGTTTCTTGGTGCTGATCTTTGTAGACCTTGAACTTGAACTAAGAGTTTGATAGAGTTATATAAGTCTGCGGTTGGCTGGTCAAGGAAAGTCACAGCATAAACATGGATCGTACGAATGCCTTCATCGCACGACTGCGCAGCAAGACTTGTACTGAACAACGTCCATGGCTCTGAAGTTCTTAGCACCTTTGATTCTTTGATCCTTAACCCGATGAAATGCAAGATATATCATTGCTCACCTCCATACTGAAGAGCTTCACTCGAGCATCTTGAGTGTCCTGAGTGTCAAACTGAAGCTGAGACATTCACGGTACCTCTTCGTCGTCGCATTCAAAGCGTCTCAGTATGTTTTGCTTCGCATCCCGAAGACCGTTTCTGTAGATGTTGGGCATTCGTGGATGACTCTAGGAGCCTCAAGAGCACAATCAATTCCAGAAGCTCCTCGTTGCTCTCGCTGGACTCACCTTCTTCAGGGATGAGCTGCAAGGGCTGAGCCTGGCTTCGGCATAAAAAGGCGGTGCACAGAAAACAAAATAGACTATAGAGTATACTGAGTATACTATAGAGATGAACAAGAAAGCAAGGCCCCTTTTAAAGACTGTTCCATACCCTTATCCCTTTTTGTGCACTGCATCTGTATGTATGTTGTTTTCCTGGCTTTTTGAACCAACACAATAGAGACCTTTCCAGTGGCTGTTGCGTCACAAGGGGATGCTGTACCAGGTAACTATATAAGTCCGATACAGGAATTTGGTATACCGTTCCAAGTCTGAAAGCGAGATGCAAAATACAGGAGGAGGACACGACTTTTCGTATTTTCCGCAATCAAAACTAACGCATGTGACAAACGAATCGGACCGTCTCTTGGCCTGCAAACGCCTTGTTGGTTGCTTACCTCGGTCAACTTAGGTCCGTCTATATGTCGAGCACCTCTCAAAGAATCAAAGCTCGGACATCTTGGGAGACAAGGCACCTTGTACAGCACCGGCTGCAGCCTGTGGAACCTCAGAAGAATGAAGGAGTTGAAGCGCATCCAAGGCTCTGTCCACTACATATATATACATAATCAGTCAGGCAGGGGTCGTTTTGTATCAACTGCTCAGTATTGGTAAGGTTTCTTGAAGAATTTCCAGACCTGGCTGCCTTCTTATTTGAGGGTATCAACACTCTTACCCCGATTAAGTCCAATAGCCAATATCCATATCAGATCACCAGCAGATCCAAATACCGTCCATCACATTGTGAGTGCAAGACAGCCAAGTGCATGTATTTATTCAATCCCACGGTTTTTCATACACTTCACGCTTCTCAAGTATATTTGGCTCCAATCATACCTCAAGGAGCATCAATTCCTCAATTGTTGGAAGGCCTTTGAAACTCTGGCAGTTGTTGTCCGCAACCCTTTTCACCTCTGCCCAAGGAACTCCGCCTGCAAATCATCCGTCTTTTGAGAGGCTTCTCAGCCGGTTTAATGAAATTACAAAATAGGCGCATCTTCTCTTTGCAACAAGCGTGGGAAGCACAGATGATAGAAAGCAAGTGGCGGATACAGCACTGAAAAGAAATGCAGCAGTCCGTTCTTTGCATGTCCTCTTTGCGCAATCAAGTAGCCTCAAAGACGCGGAACCGCTATGAACGAACCGCCGCTGTCTCCTTCCTGGGCCTCTTCCGCGTCTTTGTCTTCATCGCAGAGGGTGTAGGCCCAGCCTGATTCGGCGGTCGGCTCCAAAAACCTCCATTTTTCAATGTGAACTTGCTTGCCGATATCGTATAAACCCCGAATCTATAGGGGGCTTGCTAAGGGTTTGGTGTCAGACTCTTCAATCCAGATGGCAAAAAAAGACAGTGCCTCTTGCGTAGACAAACAGGTTGTCTTCCAGATTTCTCTCAGCCAAGCGAGGTTCCATAATGCAAACCTATGATCTACAGCGAAACAGGCTCCCTTTGGAACCCAGGAACGGCTCATTGGCAGTTCCAACAACAAGCCGGCACCAGGATGGAATCAATCACCTCCAGTGGAGGCCGCGCTGATGAAGGAAGATGCGCTGGCAGCTGAAGACTGCAGGACTCCAAAACCACTGTGCCGCTCCATAATTTCTACTGTTTCAGGAAGAGCGAATCCAACTTTGGACTTCTCTGGCTCGCCCACCCCAGCAGGCCTTGGTGTCGAGTGGTGGCAAAAAAACGAGTAAGAACCCCAGGGGGGTAACATACACACCTTGTTTTCGGAGGTTAGTAGGTATCTAGCAGGCATCCCCTGCCTCCCCCCCCCAACTAGGTATGTATGTATGTATGTATGGTCCAAAGGTACATACCTCAAAATCAGGGGTATGTATGTTTCTGGGGAACATACATACCTAGAAAATGAGAGGTATGTATGGTATGTATGTATGTTTGGGGAAACATACATACCGAGACAAGAAGAGGTATGTATGTATGTATGCATGGTCCAAAGGTACATACCTTCAAAGCATACCCAGTATGTTTGTATGTCCGGGGAAACATACATACCTAGAAAGTGACAGGAATGTCTGGTATGTATGTATGTATGTATGTCTGGGGAAACATACATACCTAGACAAGAAGAGGTATGTATGTATGTTTGTATGTATGCATGGTCCAAACGTACATACATCAAAAGCACGGGTATGTATGTTTCTGGGAGACATAGAAGAGTCATACATACCCAGTATGTATGTATGTCCGGGGAAACATACATACCTAGAAAATTAGAGGTATGTATGGTATGTATGTATGTTTGGGGAAGCATACATACCTAGAAAAGAAGAGGTATGTATGTATGTATGCATGGTCCAAACGTACATACCTCAAAAGCACGGGTATGTTCGTTTCTCGGATACATAGAAGAGTCGTACATACCCAGTATGTATGTATGTCCGGCGGGGAAACATACATACCTAGAAAATAAGAGGTATGTATGGTATGTATGGATGTCTGGGGAAAGATACATTGAAAAGAAGAGGCATGTATGTATGTATGTATGTATGTATGTATGTATTGTCCGAACGTACAGACCTCAAAAGCACGGGTATGAGTGTTCCTCGGAGACATAGCATCAGGTAAAAAGCGAGGTCTGTGTGTTTCGCAGGGCTCCCAGTTTGAGGTATGTATGTTTCCCAGGAAGATACATACGCATGAGTGTCTCGGTATGCATGTTTCCCACAAACATACATACTCATTATTATCCAGGTATGTCTGTGTCCCACAAACATATATACCTAGGACTTGGAGGTATGTACGTGGTCTGAGAAACATACATACCCGTGAGATTGAAATATGTATGGTTCGCAGAAACATACCTACCCACAATATTCCGGTATGTATGTTTCCCATGCAGATACAGACCGTTAGTTGTTTAATTTATATCCGTTCCCAGAAACACACACCGAGGAGGTATGGGTATGTCGGCCAAACAGAGATTACCTTCAAGTATGTATTTTCCCTGCAACAATCATGCCCTTGACCTTGAAGGCAGTATAAGGAGGAAGAGAGATATGTGGCATTCTCGGGATGTGCGTATACATGAACGTGGACTGTCTCACACAATGAAGCATGCTCCTCTCCGTGACCTCCCCCCCCCCAAGGCAGGTATGTATGTACGTATGTATGTATGCATGCGTGCGTGTATGTCTGTGAGGGCCCGTGACCATGGAGGGGGCATTGAAGTATGTCTGTATGAATGGATGTAAGTCTCATGGTGTTTGGCGCATGGGTATTAGACGTGTGTATGACGTAATGCATGTATGTGTGGGGAAACAGACATCGCTAGAAAATGACAGGTATGTATGTCTGTTATTGGTATGTATGTATGTCTGGGGAAACATACATACCTAGAAAATGATAGGTGTGTATGGTATGTATGGCTGGCGAAACATACCCGGCCCTGCCCAGACCGAGGCGTCGCATCATTCGAGGCAGGGGTAGTAATAGGTTATCAGACATACGTTGCACAGTCGTCGACGTGCGAAGGGGCTCGCTTCGCTCGCCCCGCGGGGGAGGCGCTGCGCCCTCCCCCGCACCCCCTCCCGCGATTTATGAGTGACACCCCTCACCGCTGCTGCATGTTCGTGACGACACAACACACACCTAGAAAAGCAGACGTGTGTATGACGCATGGGTAGTAGACGTGTGTATGACGTAAAGTCTGTATGTGTGGGGAAACTAGAAAATGACAGGTATGTATGTCTGCGTGTGTGTGACGCATGGGTATTGGACATGTGTATGACGTCATGTATGTATGTGTGGGGAAACTAGAAATGACAGGTATGTATGTCTGTTATTGGTATGTATGTATGAGACATAGGTTGCACAGTCGTCGACGTGCGAAGGGGCGCGCTCCGCACCCCCTCCCGCGATTTATGAGTGACACCTCTCACCGCTGCTGCATGTTCGTGACGAAACAGATACACCGAAAAAATTACACGTGTGTATGACGCATGGCTATTAGACATGTGTATGACGTCATGTATGTATGTGTGGGGACACATACATCGCTAGAAAAAATGACAGGTATGTATGTCTGCGTGTGTATGACGCATGGGTATTTAAACGTGTGTATGACGTCATGTTTGTATGTGTGGGGAAACATAGATCGCTAGAAAATGACAGGTATGTATGTCTGTTATTGGTATGAATGTATGTCTGGGGAAACATACATACCTAGAAAATTAGAGGTATGTATGTATGTTAAAGGTATGTATGTATGTCTGGGGAAACAGACATACCTAGAAAATTACAGGTATGTATGTATGTCTGGGGGAACATACATACCTAGAAACTAGAGGTATGTATGTATGTATGTTAAGGGTATGTATGCATGTCTGGGGTAACATACATACCTTGTTTTCGGAGGTTACTAGGTATCTAGCAGGCATCCCCTGCCTCCCCCTCCCATCTAGGTATGTATGTATGTATGTATCAACAAAAATTATAGGTATGTATGTCTGGGGAAGCATACATACCTAGAAACTACAGGTATGTATGTATGTTAAAGGTAGGTATGTATGTCTGGCAAAACATACATACCTAGAAAATGATAGGTATGTATGTATGTCTGGGGAAACATACATACCTAGAAACTATAGGTATGTATGTATGTTAAAGGTATGTATGTGCGTCTGGGGAAACATATAGTTTCTAGATATGTATGTCCGGGGAAACATACATACCTAGAAAATTAAAGGTATGTATGTATGTCTGGGGAAACATACATACCCAGAAAATTACAGGTATGTATGTATGTCTGGGAAACATACATACCTAGAAACTAGAGGTATGTATGTATGTCAAAGGTATGTATGTATGTCTGGGGACACATACATACCTAGAAACTATAGGTATGTATGTATGTCAAAGGTATGTATGTGTGTCTGGGGAAACATACATACCTAGAAAATATAGGTATGTATGTATGTGTGGGGAAACATACATACCTAGAAATTTATAGGTATGTATGTATGTCGGGGG